AGATGTAGCTATAACACAGACTCACTGAAAAAAAATCCATTATTGTTGCTGGTGTTTAACTGCATCTAATCTTTAATATGGTGTTTCGATTATATGTCACCCTGGACCACAAAACCAGTCATAAGCATCAATTTATACATCAATTTATAAATAAGCTTTCCATTGATGTGAGGTTTGTTACGATAGGACAATATTTGGCTGAGATACTATTTGAAAATTTGGCCCGTATTCACAAAACATTTGATCTTACCACTAAGTGTTCCCCTAAATAGCAGTAAAAGTAGTTAGCTAAGAGTTTTCTCTTAAAACCAATTCACAAAGCTGCTGAGACAAACTTTTACTAAGGAATAGACAGAAGTCTTAAGCTAAGAATAAGGGGGCGGGGTTGACCTCGTTGCTATGGGTGATGTCAGCATGCTTACTAACTATGCACACAGTGATTGGCTGATAGTCTCAGTCAGAGATTTATTCATGGAAACATTGTAGAGCGCAATATTATGTTGCCATATTCAAATAAATATTTAAAAATAAAAATATTAATTGCCACATTCAAATAAAGATTTTAAAATGCAGGCTAAGAGTCACTAATAAAACAAGTATATGTTCAGCTAACTGTCAGCCTCTTACATGTATGCTTCTCGTAAACAATTAGTCAATATGCATTTAAACAGCCTTTTAATTAACAGAGTAGAATAATCATGGCTGATAGTAAGACATGCACATGTAAAAGGAAACCAAACTGGATGCAAGAAGAGCAGTTATTTCTTGCTCAACTGGTTAATGAAAACAAGAATATAATCAAAGGAAAATTTGGAGTAGGGATAACCTCCAAAACCCAAGGCGATACCTTTCTAAAAGATCATCATCGAATGTTTCTAAAATGTTTACGTTCCGAGGCAGATTGCGGGCAACAGCTATTTTAGGATTGTTGTGGCTTGGTCTTAGTGACTTAGGAGTCCACTTCACTACTCCTAACGTTTCACAGATTTAGGAGCTAGTTTTAGTGCTAAAATGCATACTAATCAAAAATTAAGTTTTGATATATTTACGGTAGGAAATTTACAAAATATCTTCATGGAACATGATCTTTACTTAATATCCTAATCATTTTTGGCATAAAAGAAAAATTTATAATTTTGACCCATACAATGTATTGTTGGCTATTGCTACAAATGTACCTGTGCTGCTTATGACCGCTTTTGTGCTCCAGGCTCACATATATATATAGGTTATTTGAGTTTTGTATAGGTTGGGCAAAAGCACATTTGTCCAATGCACCTACTGTATGCTGGTAACTGTTATCAGCAACATTATCATTCATCAGCAATAATTTATTTCTGTATTCAACTACCTAGACACTTACTACTGAAGAATATCCTGAAGAATTGAATGCTGAATTAACTGATGTATTTGCACATAAAGTAAATGGGGTGCAGACCAAAAAATTTTCTGATAAGTCAAGAGAGGGGAGTTTTTGTGTAAACTCTCGATGGAACTCAGCATACATCTATGAGCGTAATCCCTAAAGATCTTATCCATCTTTTGACTCAAATTATTTGCATAAAACTAAGCCAGTGTGATACAGATACTGGAACACCTCCCTCAGGGAACATCCCTAAACCTTCATCCATACAGTGTTCACAATGAACTTTAATGACTTTTGAGTTTTCAGGAGCTTTTCGCCTCCTTCCCCAGAGGCGTTACAAATAAAAGCTGAGTAACATTAATCAAAGCAGTACAGTAAATACAGCGACTGCAGCTCTGCTCGAGTTTACTGTTGTGATAAAGTTTCTTATTGACAGTTAGCAACTTTAGTTTGGGCAGCTGCAGAAGCTCAAGACGTCCTATTCGCTGTACAGTCTTTAGGAGAATTCATGAAGGATTTTAGCAGAGAGATTATAATAGATGAGTGATGCCATTCAAGATCTACCAACAGAAATTGCAGGTCAGTTATGCAGGAATCAAATTTGTTTAGCTTGAAGTATTTTGGTGGATGAGGAACCATACAATATGCAATGCTATCCTGTGAGCATCTAATGCAGTGCTTCTCAACCACGTTTCTATGATGCACCTGATGAAGTTTCACTGCTAATCTAATTCATAGTATGGCCTTGGTGTAATCACAGATTTTTGTGTTTTTACATAAATTTGAATGACTTTAGATGCAATTTTATTTGAATACATAAGGGTTTTTAAAATAATTACGAGAATATTATTATCTGTTTATTTATTTGAATGACTCTAAATGTTATTTTATGTATCACATTTAAGTTTGTCAAAGATGTGAGGAGAGAATTCAATTGAGTTTTAAGTGCACCACTAACACACCAAACTAGCAGCGCTGCTCTGAATCCGATGGAGCGAGAGGTTTGTTATCAACAATTACAGAGACACATGCTGGAGAGAGCAGATGAACAGAGAAGAGATGCCCATCTTGCACATCTCACACTTGCAGTTTTCATTCAATTTAGTTATATTTTATTTGCATTTGATATGCAAAATCCACACGTCACCTTTCAATTTTTCTCACTTGCTATCTAAGATTTAATTTTTAAAAATTCAATTTTTACCTATGCAGCCCCGCTCAAAAATAAATAATGTGTCTTTATTCACTAACCAATCTGGACTGTGGGTGTCAAGCTCTAAAAAGTACAAATAGATTAAATAAGCCAATCTCACTGTAAATGAATTTTAATCTGAACAGCTTTCAGAGGAACTTCTTATCTGATCTCACTTCATGCACCGTGTGAATTGGGACTGACTGAAATAATTTCACTGTACAAATGCTGCAAAGTAGAGTCACATTGTTAAATCAGAAAATGTGGCAGTCTCTTCCGAGGAAGAATTTTGCATCTTTAATATTAAAGTTAAAATTGGGCAGGGCTTAGGCTCAGGAAGAATGTGCACTGGCAGAATGTAAGGAGGTGATCAGTTGCACTGATCTCTGTTGGTCAGTTGGTTTGTCTCAGTGGGAGTAAAAATATCCCAGCATGCTCTGCACACACATTATCTACCAATGAAAGTCAATGGCAGATTTCAAATGCAAAATTAGACATTGATGTGTAAACAGCACAACAAATGGACGCATGAAATATTCCTATAGAAAGGTGACGGGCTGCATGCCCAGTTATTTGTTTAATCCATGCGCTTTCATAGAACATCAATAAGAAATCTCAGTCATCATTTATTTTAGTGGTTACAAATATAACCTGAGAATATTACCACCATTGAACATCCTGCTTTTGTGGGAATGATGAAGAAACACGCACATACACCAATACTAGAGAAATACAAAGACTAGCTTAAGACAAAAAAAAAAGTCAACACCAAACCTTTGTCAATCAAATCAAATGCTTAAAGTTAACATGAAATCTAAATTTACTAAATTATGTGAAACATTCCTCATTTCAGTTCCTCGTGGATAAAATCACAAAATGCGTCAGATCGTGAAGGTAAAAGAGACATGAATGCTGTTTCATGTAGACTTTAAAGTGACTCTGCGGTAATGTTTTTCTCTCTTCCAGGACTTTGCAACATTAACACAGTGTTCTGAGACGCTTCAGTTTTAAAGTGAATCTCTGTCAGCTTCTTCCATTACATGTCAGGTAAGCAAATGCATGAGCAGTAACAGGCTTGTTAGGGCAGTGTGTTTTCTTCATCTGTTGGAAGTTATTCACACAGCAGTACATTCATTCTGTTAATTAATAACTAACATCGAACATGATAATATTAAACATCATCTGCAACAGTAGCATACTACAATAGTTTTGTCTTCTTTCATTGAACACTTAATTCATTGAAAGCTAAGCAGATTGGGCAAGGTGTTAAAAGGGCTTTTTCAGATAAATGGTGTTGGCAAAAAGGAACTACATTTGCAATTAGATAGCGGCTAATTGGAGAATAAAATTAAGAGAGGAGAATTACTGGTCATTTTCCCTTTGTAACGCTGTTTAATTAAAAACCCTCGTCAGAATTGTAATTAGGACATGAGACGTACTCTATCTTCAGTCTAATCAGTACACTTGTGTGTCTGACCTGAGTAAAACATGCTGTAACAAACACACAACGCGCATATGTACACAACTCTTTATCAAAGCATCAAATAAAAAAAATAAAAAAAAATTCCCCTTTTTCTACTAAAAGGACGTTTGCTGCTTTAGTGTTTTTTTTTTCTTTCTTTTTTAAATTTAATTTAATTGATCTTTTATCATATTGCATGATTAGAAAATAAATATACAAATGAATCACAATAGTTTTTTTTCTTTTGAACCAAATGTTATGATCTCTATAAATCTCAAAATGTGTTTGATTAATGATGAAACTTTACATTTATGAGACAGGCTCTTTGATCTTCTCAAAATAACAGTGTCTATTACGCTTTTACAACACCATTTCTGATCAAACTGTGTTTGAAATGGTTTACTATCATACTCCATGCTGGACATACCTGGGCTGCGTTTCCCAAAAGCATCGTAAGCTTAAGTACATCGTAGACCCATTAAAACTGATCAACTTAAGCTTACGATGCTTTTGGGAAACGCAGCCCTGATCTCTTGAGAAAACGTAACTATTTTACAAGTTATGAGTTTACGGTGTCCTGTATGGTTTTTAAAGCAGTGCACCAGTGTGACACAATAATTTTTTTTAAATAACTGTAGTTTGCTGAATCATTTTCACTAGACCTGTGTCTCGAAGCATTCCCAACTCTTCACTAGTCACTATCCTGAGACGAGACAAATACCAAGTCGAGAGCTTCCAGAAATCATCAGTCACTGGTGAAACTTCTACTGGTTTCTGCACAATCAGATGGTGTATTGCACATCTACCAGCAGGACCAACCTTGACCAAAGTAACCAGCCAAACCTGGACCCCCGATGAGCATGACCATTTTAAAAATCAGAGTTTGTCCAATGACATTCTTAGAAAGCTGGCATAGTATGCAAAGTAAATGTATATGTTAGGAAGGAAGTTTAGCATGATGCAATTACTGACTACCTTCATTCCATTACGCTCCACTTGTATTTCTCTCGGATGAAAACAATGAAGCTAGCAATATGTTACATCCACATTGTTTCATCAGAGATGTTTCTTTGTGCAGGTAGTCTTCAGATTCCGGGTCACGTATGTTCACACCTGGTGACCTCGGGCAGCGGCGTTTGCTCCTGCAGCGCCCCCTGTGGAGGAGTCTGACCGGATCGACCCGACGCCACAAAGTTCTTCTGTAATTCCACTCCAAACCCAGGCGGGGCGCTCTGCAACTGTCTCCTGTACTGCACAAAGCTGCACGTCTTCAGAACGATGGCGAGGATGTTCTTGGCCATGAGTATCCCAGACACTCTGTTGTCCTTATAGAGGAGCATATTCCCTCCACGGATGAAGAGAGTGACGATGTTAATAGTCACCAAACTCAGAATGGGGTAGAGCATCATCTTGTGAGGACTGATGTTAATGCCTTGCATGCTGATCTCACTCAGAGACACGCAAGGCAGCACTAAAAGAAGAATATAACAGTAGAAAAACATCAGTCCCTCGGCCCAGAGCGGAAGCCCTTTCTTCTGCGGCTCCCACAGGTTGGCCTGGATGTCCAGAACATCCAACAGATCCACCACCACCCAGAACAAACGGTTTCTGATCTCCTCCTTCTTCTTGAAAGCCTTCACGTACTCCATGTGGTCGATAGCGACCAGGATCAAGAAGAGCGCGGGAATACTGACGGAGAGCAGGAGCGTCAGAGCTTTCCGAGCCAATGTGTCCAGGCTCTTACGGTCAGCCTTGTAGTTCTGGTAAACAAAATACACCTTAATCTCCAAGACGAAGATGTAAAGGAACCAAAGTATCATGGCGTAGCCTCGTTTTGCCGTCCTCACTTCAGCCCCGACCCACACCGCCACGTACCGCAGCACGATGAGGAAGCAGAGGTCTCCCACCGTCACCATGATGCAGATGCCGATCTTTCGCGGGCCGTGGTTCTGCTCCACTAGGTAGGCATCCATCAGTGCCATGCTGCTCATGATGATGATAGTGGACAAGCAAACGTGTGGCTTGTTGGTGGAAGGCGGTGGCACCATCCTGCTGACCTCTTCCCTGAACCAAGGGGACTCAGAGTCTTCTGCTCCTCGATGCTGCTCCCATGGAGCTCCAGGATTCACTAGCTGGACACAAACAAATCACCAAGATGAAATCTAAATTATACTCTCTTCCCAGATCACTCTGTCTTGCCAATAACCTGTCTGAATTTAAATCGCTGCTCAAAACTCACTTGTTTTCAGAATGTTACCTTTCTTAAGTTGACTTCTGTTTACTCTGCCTTATGTTGTCTTATCTATATATTAATCTCTGAATATCCGATGTTTGCTTTACTTTCTGTATTATTGTTTGATTTTATCCTCACATTTCTGATGTTTATTGTAAAGTGTCCTTGAGCTCTGGATAGATGCTATATAAATAAAACTTATTATTTATTATTATAAGATGCAAGTCCCAATATGCACAAACCATCAAAGCAAATATGTTTAGGGTACAATGGACCCTTTTCACAAGACTGTGATGATGCTTTTAACGGTCATCAGCATTGTAAATCCTAGAAAGTTTTTTATATATATTTTTTTTTAAATGTGTGTAACACTTTATTTAGATGGTCCCTTTTGAGCATTCTGTTGACAATAAGTAACTTTGCACCTACATGTCAACTAACACTCATCAGAGTATTAGTAGACTGTCTGATTAATATCTGCTAACTCTTTATTGTGATATTGTCCCAACAGACATTCTACTGACTATAAGTAACTTTGCAAGTACATGTCAACTTATTCTAACCCTAACCCTACCAGTCTACTAATACTCTACCAACACTTGAATGTGTTAAAGGGACCATCAAAATAAAGTGAAACCAAAATGTGTGTACATTTATAACACTATACTTTGTGTTATATCACCTTTGCATTAAATTACCAAAAATAAAAAAATAAAAAACTAGTTAAGGCTAACGCGAGGCTGTTTCTAATGCAGCGTCTATGGGAGGGATGGTAAATTTGACATCGTTCTCTCTTCTCACTGCCGCTATCAGTTTCTCTCCATTTTTTTCCTTTTTTTGAAAGTCATGAAAACACTATTGTTGAGTTTTTCTTTTGCTATTTGAGCAAATGGGAATGCAAAAAATATTTTGTACTATATATTTTTTAATATATTGTAACTCTCCCATTCACTGCTCTTCAAGTTAAACCAACTATGATGACTTGCACTACTGAGAAACACGCAAATGTGAAAAAGGTTCATCTTGAAGAATTTCTAGTCTGACAGTATTTTGGCCACTGTTTCCAGATCTACAAAGCTGCATTTAAAAGGTCTTGTTTTGCACATACAGTGCTGGCCAAAATGATTAAAACACTAGTATTTTCGGCAGCTAAAAATGGTTTTAAGTCAGTTATTTCTATCTTTTGCTGTAGTGTGTCAGTAGGAAATATCAGTAATAGTGTAACAGTATCAGTAGGTAATAATGCAGTGAGATATATGTTTGAGCTGCACACAGAGCTCTGATCTGATCATCATCAGTCTGTCTGGAATGACATGAAGAACCAGAACAAACTGAGACAGACTCAATCCAGAAGAACTGTGTCTCCGAGACGCTTCAAGAAACCTTGAAGCTACAGTGCTGTTAAAAGTTTAAAAGTTTTAGGCACTTGTGTAAAAATGCTGTAAAATGAGGATGCTGTCAAAAATA